TCAGGTTCTCTATGAAAACAAATTCCAGCCCAGACTACTATACCCTGCAAAACTCTCTTTCAAGTTTGATGGAGAAGTGAAAAATAAAGTGCAATACCTGATGTGTGAAAGGTACTTCAAGATTTAAGCTACCTACTCCATTAAAAAGTATCCTTAGTTAAAATTTAAGGTGTTCATTAGAATGGCAACCATGCGGACCAGGGAGATGGTTCAGTAGAATAAGCACTTCCCTGGCAAGTGCAAGGGCCTGAGTTCAATGCCTGGTTCCACAAAAAAAAAAGAATGGCAACTATGATGTTAAGATTTTAGTGGTCACTAAAAATCTTAATCTAGGGCTGGGGATATAGCTCAGTGGCACAAGTGCCAGCCTGACAAGTGCTAGGTCCTGAGTTTGATTTCTGGTACAAAAAAAAAAAAAAAAAAAAAAACTCCTCAAAACAACACTAAAAATCGTAATGTACTGGAGCTGGGTGTGGTGGCCAATACCTATTATCGCAGGAGTTGGGAGGCTAAGGCAGGAGAACTGCTTCCAGTTTGAGGCCAACCTGGACTCCATACATATAGCAAAACCATTTCAAAAAATAAAATTCCTAATCTACTGGGTGGCTAGGAGGGTGGGTGGCTCTGCTGGGCCCAAGGCCCAACCCACCCCATAGCAATAGTGGGTGTCCTGGCCACAGGGCAGTCGGCCTGGATCTCTGACTGTGGACTTCACACCTGTGAGGCTCTTTCACTGTATCCAGGTTGGCCAGGCCTCAGTGCAGGGCCACTGCAAGAACCTCAGGGAATTGTACATATCACTAAGTGCCTTCAGATAGGATCTTCCCCACTACCCCAACTGGGGATTGAACTCAGGCCCTTGCACTTGCCAGGAAAATGCTTATTCTACTGAGCTAGCTCCCTCGCCCCTACTAAGCGCCTTCAACAGCTCTCTTGTTCGCCACTGGTTGAAGTGTCAAGCACTCCTCCACCCCAGCTGCCAGCTCAGAGAACCAGGTCCCTGCTTTCTAAGGGCCCAAGCAAGTACATACATTTTTCAGGACAGGGCCCACATGGGGCTGCCTGAAGCCTTTTTCATGCTATGACTTCTGCAATTGTCTTTTCAAGGTATTTGGATAACAAGAAATAAAATAAGTTTTTCAACTTAACAAAATCTAATCTATAGCTAGTTGTGGTGCTACATATCTGTAATCCCAGCAATTAGGAGGGTGAAGCAGGGGGATCAGAGACCATCCTCAGATACACAGCAACAGCCTATCTCAAAAAACAAAACTGTGACACACACGTCATCCAGGACTCAGAAGGCAGAGGCAGCAAGATCAATTCAAGGCCAGACTAGTGAGTTGAAGGGCAGCCTGAACTATATAGTGAGACCTTGTCTCAAAAAAACAAAAAACATCAAACTACAACCAAAAACATTACCAAAGTAAACAAACATCCTAATCTCTAAATCTTCCATTCACTAACAAGTCTTTACTGAGTGCCCATCACACTGAGCCGTGGCTGTTGAGGTTAGTTCCCTAATGGACAAATCCCTTCGCAGAACGCATAATGTAATCTAATTCACACTTAGTACAGAAACACCTGGTTTAGAATAAGGGCTAAATCCCCAGCCCCAACCCAGCCAACATTCAGTTTACCGAGGTGAAATTCACATAAAATAATGATCTGTGCAGGCTAGCCAGATAGCTCAGCAGACTAAAGCGCCTGCTTAGACAGATGAAGGTGGGGGTTTCAATCCCCTGCCCTTGGGCTAGCCCCACCCCCCTGGGGGGCACCTGAGACTGGGTGTAGTGGCACATGCCTACAATTCCAGCGCTGGAGAGGCTGAAAAACAGGAAGGATCCAAGTGTAGTGAGACCTTGTACTAAATACATAATAATAATAATAATAATAATAATAATAATAATAATCTGCAAATTGCCAATTCATTGTCATTTAGTATTTTCACAATCCTGTGCAACCACCACTCATATCTAACTCCAAAATTTTTACATCATCCCCAAATTAAATGCTATGTCAATAAGCAGTTTTTCTCCAGGATTAATTTTAATTACTGATATTTTCAGGTCAATCTATACCCAATTAAATAACTGTGTCTCCTTAGGTAACACATCCTTGTTTGAATGTTCTGCCTTAAAACATAAAAATTCAACAGAAAGAAATTCAGATTCTCCCCCAAATCTGAATTTTAAGAAACAAAAGTTTGCACATTTGCCTTAGTGTACACATCAGTGGTGTTCAAAAGAAAAAGCACTATTCAGGGGTTGTCAGGAAACAGGTGGTCATATTCTGGTGTCCTGAGGACTGGGAGGGCACAGGTTGGGGGCAGACACACAAAACACCCTGGCTCTGGCAGCCAGTAGCACTAAATCTACCGTGACACCTGAGGAGCCACTACTCCTAATGGTACCTTGCAGAGAACCCCATCAGGGCTCAGTCCATGTCTACTTGCAGTCTTATTTTCTGAACATCAGTGTGGGGCATCTTTCCACATATAAAAGTTTCCATAGGAGAAGATGAGAAAGTAAAAGGGATTAAGATGCAGTTTGTATCAATACCCCATAAGGAAATGTTCACTATGTATCACAAACATATCAAATAAAAATAATTTTTAAAAAAACAAGTTTCTAGGCTGGATGTAGTAGTACACATCTGTAATCCTAGTACTCAGGAGGCTGAGGCAGGAGGACTACTTGAGTTCGAGACCAACCTGGGCTACAACATGAACTCAAGACCAGCCAGAACTGCATAAAGACCCTGTCTAAAAAAAATGACCCAAAAACCCCCAAGTTTCTAAAATACACACACAAAAAAAATTCTGAATCAGGCTGGGTGGCAAACACCTGTAATCCCAGAACTTGGGAAGCTGAGGCAGGAAGATCCTTTCAAGTTCAAGGCCAGCTTGGGCTATATAGCCACCTATCTCAAAACAAAAATAAGCGGGGTGGGGATATAGCTCTGTGGGAGAATGCTTGCCTAAAAATGTGTGAAGCCCTGGTTTATTTCCTCTTGTTGAAAAGAACATAAAGCTAGATGTGATGGTGCACAGCTATAGTCTCAACACACTGAAGATCCCAAGTTTGAGTCCAGCCTGGGCAACTGAGTGAGATCATGTGTCAAAAAATAACAGGGTCAGGGACACAGTTCAATGAAAAGGCCTAAGGTTCAATCTCAACCTCCAAAACTACAAAATAAATAAATAATCCCTGAACAAGTATTATAAAAGTTCAGGCCATTAATCTTTGAGAACTCCCACGGAAAAGGTAAGACATTCAACAATTTAAAAAAAAAAAGTTTTAACATTTGGCAACTTCTCCCTCATACTATGTGCAGGTCCCCTATTTCTTGAACTGTGGCTGAGGCATAAGGATTACAAGTTCAAGGTCAGCCTTGAGAAACTGTCTCACAATGAAAAGGGCTGAGTACATAGCTCAGTGGTGAACACTTGTCCACAGCATGCCCAAGGCTCTGTGTTCAGTCTCTGGGGTGTGGGGGTGGGGGGATAAATCTGCCCTGCAGCTGCCTTTGGTTTGAGATCATTTGTAGTGAACAAATGACAAAGTTAATATTACAGTACTTTCTTTAAACAGCTGAGTCTTAGCCAATCACATAAAACAAATTCCTCAATACACTGTACCCAAATAAGGTGAATGTGGAGCTGTGACCAGTCAACTGTTTCTGTACCTACTTCCTTTTTCTGTCTACAAATGCTGCCCATCTACTCTGTGAGGTGGACTCCCTGGTTCTGAATGCTGCCTGATTTGTGAAACAGTCTTTGCTTAAATTTTGCCCAGTTTAGTTTAACTTGTTTTAACAATAAGATGATGCATTTTGAAAAACAGCATTTGTTAAAATGTATGATAAAGATGTACTGGAGAGCTTAAAAAAAAAAAAAAAAGACTGCAGCAAATGAAATTGAGCAGTGGTAGGACCTACCCCAAGTCAAATACCTGGTGAACGGTGGAGTGGAGAAATAGACCCTCACTCTCTTCGGCCTCTATGCTGAACCACCCTTTAGAGAAGAAAGCCAATCCCACACCACAACTACAAACTGAGATTTTTTTTTTTTTTTTTTTTTTTTTTGTGGCACCAGGGATCGAACTCAAGACCTTGCATTTGCCAGGCTGACACTTATGCCTGCTGAGCTATCTCCTCGGTCCCAAATTTACAATTCTACATGGAGCTCCAAGACAAGCTGCATAGAAATGATCGCTCCAGTGCTAGTCAAATAGTTCAGCAGATTAAAGCACCTGCTTAGGCAGATGCAGGGGACGAGGGTTTGATTCCCCCACCTGCCATGCCAGTGAAAGCGCCACCCCCGGTAACACACACCTATAATCCCAGTGCTTGGGAGGCTGAAAAACTGGAAGGATCACTATAATATATGTGTGGTGAAAACCTGTAGACCCTGTACTAAACACATTTAAAAAAAAAAAAAGAAAAAAAGAAAAAAGAAATGATTGCTCCATTCCTTCTCCTAAAAGCAAACAGAAACTTAGTTAAGAATACAGGACCACAATGAAAGCTCAAACTCATTTCTTCAGAAAGGAAACCACTATCATTCCATCAACTGAAACAGAAATCTACCACCCTCAGTACCTCTGCACACTCTTGGTTACAGACTGAACACATTCCAACCCTAAAGAGACAGGAAGTTTTTTCTGTCTGCTCCATCCCTATGTTTAGAACCCAGTGGGATCTAAAGTACCGAAAAGCTGTAATTTAAAACTCTCCATAGTGGGTATAACTGAACGTTGTGCCTGCAAAGGTCAGATTCTCTAACATCTCTTGCCCACAGGGATAGAAACTGATAACTCCGTAAGATGAAATGCCTAAAACCTTCCTTTCCAGCCAGCCAATGACCTCCTTCTACCCGGTAGGCGGGCTCCGGAACAGGAGACAGATGCACAGGCAGTCTGCTATATGGGTGTGCATCTGAGCCTGAGATAAGACATCAGGACTGGCTGGCACTGTGAGACTCTGCAGGGTGCACTTACGTGATGGCAACATTGCTCCCATCTATAACAATATGCTTCAAATCTGTTCTTCCTGGCTCATTTTTTAATTCCAGCTTGTAGGGCACTTTCAGAGTATCTCGAAACCTTTGAACCCCCGTAACTGAGGAATCCATGTTATCGGAAGGTCCTGTCAACCTTGCCTCACTAACTGAAGGTAATAGCAGAGGCAGCATCGTTGGTGAATGGGGTGAATAATTTGGCTTAAACTGAGGAGAGCCACAACACCCCACAGGTTTTTCACAGGAAGCTTTCATATTATTTGGAACCAAGGCTTCTGTTTGCTGTTGTAAACCATTTTCATGAAAAACTGGAATTCTAGGCTGGTGATTTGAAGCTCCCCTTGAAACAAAATTGACATCTTTGGAACTTGGTGGGGCAACAAAGGGTGAAAGGCCATCACTTTCAAGGTCCGTATTACACACATAGCTGTGGTGTAGACCCTGGGGTTCATGTTTCTGTTCTGTTGGTACTGTTCTGAAAGTACTATTTTTGCAGTTTGAGGTACATGGTTTAGCTTCTACTTTGAATGGTAACCGAGAAAACTTTTCTACTGTATTTTGCTGTGTATGAGCCTGTGTCTTCTTTGGAGTGGAATCTGCTGTAAGCTCATTTGTGCTGCCACAAATACCTTTACTTTTGGTTTTAGAGGTGTCTGGATACACAGTACCAGGTGAAAATTCTCTGTCTTCTTGAAACCGTTTATTTTCTTTTTCAATTTCTTCCAAGAGCAATAAAGGTTCAGTAGAAGGCCCATACTCCCTAATGACCTTTTGGACAATTTCTTGAGAATAGCCCATGGTTTTAAAAAAGTTTACAAGGATATTGTATTCCATCTCCTCTGTTGTGTCTTTCACATCCAGACTTGGGTTTTCAGAGTCAACAGAAGAGTCAGAGAGGTCAATAATTACGTTTCCAGCTGATGGCTTGCCATCATGTAAGAGCTCTTCCTCTTGAACATTTTCTAAAGAAAACTGCTTCTTGGTGTGCCTTTCCTCTGAATCAGAAAATCTCCTTTTGTAACAAACTCTCTCTTTGGAAAGGGCCTCTTCACTGGGGTTTAGGCCATTTACCGGCTGCACAAAAAGTATGTCTGGTGGACTAGAAAAGACCGTGTCCATTTGTTCTGTAAGCTCCGAAACAGGAGTCTGGGCTTTATTTCTGGCATCTTCCTGCACAACAGTTTCATCTGTAGAATTACTTAGTCCTGCAGCAGCATTCTGTGCAAATTCTGTTTGCCGGGCATCTCCAATTTCAATAACCTCCCCGCCTCTGGTTTCAAACACATTCTCCTCACCTTGGGTGAGACTCAAAAGCTCCTTTTTCAAGGAAGTGGGCAAAATCAATAAATCCATTGTGTAATTGTCTGCGCGAGCTTCAACAAATTGTTTGAATTCTCTTTTTACTTCTGAGTCTTTCTGACTGCTGGGCAGATTCTCATTGTTCTCAAAGAGCTTCACAAACTGCTGAATGTGGCTCCTGGCCATGACCACAGCCTCTGCACTTCCTCTGATGCTGAGAAGGCCGATGTCCAGGACACAGAGGTCCGCACAAGTATCCTGGATCAAGCTGTTCAGAAACAGACTCTGAGCCCCAACAAAAATGCAGTGCATGGCCTTGGGGTAACACTCTCTTTCCTCCAGTTCAGGTTCACAGATGCCTTTGATGTACTCCTGTAAAGACAAGGTAAGAAATTCAGCTCCATTTACAAAAGCTCCTTAACTGCATATGTGAAAATACACATATAAACATCAAGGTGATTTCAAAAAAGATCTCAGGCATGTTTATAATTTTGAGGAAAAAACACGCTTTCAATAAAAGTTTGAAAATAACACACATAAAATGTCTATCTTTAGAAGAATTATCTGATGCAGGTATACATAATGCTTTAACTGTGAATCTTATAGCGTGATCTTAGGTGTATGCCTAGCTACACAGTACATAATCCACAAGTTGGATTTATTAATTTATTTTTTGGTAGAACCGGGGATTGAACTCAGACCCTTGTGCTTGCCAGGGAAGTGCTTATTCTACTGAGCCATCTCCTGGGCCCTGGATTTATTTTTATCTAAAGAATAAACATATTTGCTTGCTACCAGTCATTTATAATTAGCATGACACAATCTAGAGATAAGGCAGTCCAATTAGAGAACAAACCTTGCCTTTTGCTTTACTACCATTATTCTTAGTTTTCAGATATAACACAGTACCCCTTGTTTCCAGATTTCTTCAAGTCATTTGGAAAGGACAGGATTATCTCACAAAAATTTTTATTCCAGTTGCTTAGGACAACCTATACCCTATATAGTTTCATGACTTTTTTCCTAAGGAAGACCAGACTGTTTAAATTTGCTGGCTTTTTTTAAAAAATGTATTTAGTACAAAGTCTACAGGGTCTCACTACACAAATTGGACTTGTAGTTATCCTTCCTGTTTTTCAGCCTCCCAAGTGCTGCGATTGCGGGCTCGTACCACCATGCCCAGTCTCATTCGCTGTCTCAGGACACCCCAGGGGCAGGGCTGAACCCCCTGCCCCTGTGTCTGCCTAAGCAGGTGGCTTTAATCCACTGAGCTACCTGGCCAGCCCTAGATTGTTTTAAATAGACACAAACATAAGTATAAAGAACTAGAAAAGGCTTAAAGCACTGTCATTCTCAAGCGAAGAAAGAGAACTGGGGCTGCTACAGGAGACAGAAGAATTAGGCAAGCAAGCATGCACACAGACAATGCAACTATTTATTAACACACCAACTTCAGTTCCATAATTTTGGCTAATGTTTTGGTCTCAAATTCTGACAACAGTACCACTGGTGTGATCCTATGTAAGTTACCTGTCTTCTAAGCCCAGTTTCTCCAACTGTCGAAGAGGTAAAAATAATGCAATCATAAAAAGTCAGAGAAAATTAAGACATAATATAAAGCCCTGACAATAGTGTCTTGCTTACTAAATGGTAACATCATTACTTATCCCATTAGTGAAAACCTTAAGAGAGACATTTGTGAGAAATAAGCCTGATGTGATACTGGATCCAGACAGCACTGCCAAAAACAGTGCTATTTAAAAGTCCCCCCCCCCCCCCCCCCCCCCACAGCACCAGTCAGGAGGAGCTCGCTGCATGCCCCACACTTCCAGGGGCAAACTCATCTGCAGTTAGAATTTACATTCATATACATGTATGTATTATCTGTGCATCCGTGGCTCAAGGCCACAGAATCCCCAAGAGATGAAACACTAGAAGTGTGAGGAAGACTTCACAGAGAAGTCAGAGCCAGTAAAAGGACTGGGCTGTATGTTCTCCCAATGGCTCAGGTGTCTGCAGCACTGGTGGGTAAGCTCGGAAACCTCTGCCGCTAGACAGAGACACCCTGTGCAGATGGGTCTTGGTGGTAACATGGCAACTTTATTAAACCACAGTACCAACTGATCATCCTTTCTTCCTAAATGTGCAAGCAAAGTGTTAAATACTGACATCAATATGCTTGATGCTGAAACATTCTGAAGTATTTGTAAAAGTCTCCAGCTAAACACAAGGGCCTGGAGGTTTCTTTTATGAAAGTTTTTAAATTAATTCGATTTCCTCAATAGCTTAAGGATATTCAAATTATCTACTTTATACTGGGAATCACGGTAGTTTGTATCCTTTGAGGAAATAGCCCAGCTCACTGAAATTGCTAAAGTTACATATACAGAGTTGCAATATTTTTCTTAAATCTTTTTTTTCTCTCCTATTTTTTTTTCCTTAATCTTTTAAATGTCTGAAGATTTGCAATAGCATCCTGTTTAATTCCTGGTATCAGTAATTTGTCTTTTCTTTCTCATGTTGCTAAAAGATTTATCACTTTTTTTCTTTTTTTAAAGCAGGGTGTCACTGTATAGTCTGGTTTTGAACTGGCAATCCTCCTGCCTCAGCTTCCCAAATTGCTGGGATTACAAATGTGCACTACCACACCAGCAAGATCTTTTTTTTTTTTTCGGAACCGGGGATGAACTCAGGCCCTTGCGCTTGCCAAGGAAGAGCTTATTCCACTGAGCCATCTCCCCAGCCCCTATCAATTTTTTTAAGATTAATTGATTTGGTACAGGGTCTCGCCTCACAGTCCAGACTCATAGTGATCCTCCTGTCTCAGCCTCCCCAGTGCTGGGATTACAAGTGTATCACCATGCCTGGTTTCTTGGCCAGCATAGCATGCAGTACCAGGGATCTACCTCAGGTCCTTGTGCTTGCCAAGTAGACACTTAGACCTCCAAACTACCTCCCTGGCCAATGTATCAATTTTTGAATTTTTAAATTCAAAGAATGGTTTTTAAAAAATAAATAAAATAAAACAAAAAGGGCCGGCCAAATAGCTCAGCGGATTAAAGCGCCTGCAAGCAGGCACAGGAGCCAGGGCTTCAATCCCAGGCCTGCAGTGCTGGCCTCGCCCCCCCGGGGCGCACTGAGACAGCAATTAAGACTAGACAGTGGCATGCACCTATACTCCCAGTTCTTGGGAGGCTGTAAACAGGTGGATCAACATGAGTCTGAACTAGTAGTGAGGCCCTGAACACCCTGTAGACCCTTCCCTAAAATACAAAAAATAATAATAATAATAAAAATAAAAAAGAATGGGTTTTTGTTTAGTTGATTTTGTTTCTATTTTAACATATGTTCCTATCTTTTTTTTTTTTTTTTTTATTTCCCTCTTTCTGCTTTAGTGTAGTACACTCGTATTATTTTAGGTTCTTGAAATGGAAACCTAGAGTGAGCCTTTTTTTTTCTAATGTATGCATTTATATATTATAAACTTCCCTTTGAGCCAGATGTGGTGGCAGATGCCTGTAGTCCCAGGACCCATGAAGCTGAGGAGAATCACTGACAGTCTGAGGTCAACCTGAGCTACTTAGTAACTTCAAGACCAGTCTAAAACTATATAGTAAGACCCTGTCATAAAACACCAAAAACTAAGCCAGGCATGGTGGTGCACATCTGTAATCCCAGCACTCAGGAGGTTGAAGCAAGAGGATCAGGAGGATGGACACAAATTCAAGGGCAGCCTAGACTACATAATGAATTCAAGACCAGCCTGAACTACCTAGGAAGATCCTATCTCAGAAAGAAAGAAAGAAAGAAAGAAAGAAAGAAAGAAAGAAAGAAAGAAGAAAGAAAGGAAGGAGAGAGGGGGAAACTACCCAACTACCCGCTTGGGCCCCCCTCCTGTCCCTCTCTCAGACAGAAGCTTTCTCTCAATAAATATA